ATATCAGAATAACAGGTATTTGGAACTCGCACCTTTTAAATCTTTGACCAGAATTTACACAAACATGAACTTTTTATATATGACTTACATAACTGAAACAAACATTTCATGAAATAATTACTTTATTGTGTTAAATATAATAGGATTATTTCTATTTTGTTTCATTTAGTGTTATAACTCACTACATAAGGCAGTGGTTCTTAACAATGGCTGCATGTTAGTAATCGCTGAATACTTAAAACATGACAAAAGAATGAGGCCCAGCCAAATCCCTAAAACTGATTCAACTGGTCAGATATCACTGGTTTTCTTTTTATTTCTTAAAGCTTCACAAAATTAATTCTAATAAGTAACTAGGATTAAGAACGATTAAACAGATGTGCAGAAGTTTTGGCTGACTTTTTTGATTATGAAAGCAACCCCATTTTTTCTTACCTTTTCATCCCCAGCATAGTAGTAGATCATCTAATTCAAATGTCCTATGTCAAGCCATCTCACTTAGCCAGTATCTAGTATGTAAATATTTATGTATTCCATTTCTTTTTTAACAATGTTCTATTTTCCTATACTCATGCTTCTCACATTACAACTTCCAATCCCTAGTGTCTAGTTACAGCTGTTCCTCCTTCTTATGTTTCCATATCTGAGATCTCAGCCTCAACTGTCATGTCTGCTAGTCTAAGTGCTAGTTTGTGTGCCCTATTGTACACAGGGTTTTCGAAGGCCTATTCTTTTAGAAGTGGCTGGCCAATCCTTCCTTCTTAGTCTGTATTAATTTTTTTTTAATAATAGTATCTGACAGACAAGCAATTTACAGACAGGAACAGATATAATTCAAATATATGCACTGACAACTAGAGCCAAAGAGGAGGAAATAGAACATGCAATCAAAATAATGGGTGGTTGGAATATAAAACTTGGGAACAGGGTAAGAAGGATCAGTAGCTGGAAAACATAATCTTTGTGACAGAAATGAAGCTGGAGACAGAATGATAGATAGAATTCTGTACATTCAATGATTTATTCATTTCAGACACCTTTTATAAGAAACACAAATCCAGGCTATACACATGGATTTCACCTGATGGTAGGCAAAGGAATCAAATAGATTACATCTGTGGAAAGAATCGCTGGAGAAGCTCAATATCAATGAAGAAAACTAGGCCAGAAGCTGACTGTGGAACAGACCACCAAATACTCATATGCAAGTTCAAGCTGAAGCTGAAGAAAATAAAATGAAATCCACAGGAACCAAAATTAGACCTTAAGTCAACCCCATTCGAACTTTAAAACATCTAAGGAACAGGTTTGAGGCCTTTAACAAAGGGAAGACCAAATGAGCTGTGGGAAGATATCAAGAGCATCATCCATGAAGAATGCAAAAGATCATTACAAAGGCAGAAGAGGAAGAAAAGACCAAGTTGGATGTCAGATGGGATTCTGAATATTGTATTAGAGTGCCGAGAAGCCAAAGCTAAAGGAAGTAATCAAGAAATTAAAAGAGCTAAACAGAAAATTTCAAAGGGTAGCTTGGGATAACCAAGCAAGGTATTACAATGAAATGTGCAAAGAGCCTGAGTTAGAAAATCAAAAGGGGAGAACTCGCTCAGCATTTCTTAAGCTGAGGGAACTGAAAAACAAATTCAAGCCATAAGTGCCAATACTTAAGGTTGCTTTGGGCAGAATGTTGACTGATCCAAGAAGCATTAAAAGAAGATGGAAGGAGTATACAGAGTCACTGCACCAAAAGGAATTGGCTGACAGAGAAGAATTTCACGAAATAACGTATGAGCAAGAGCCTGTGGTGGTGGTGAAGGAGGGAGTTCAAGCTGCTCTAAAAGACTTGGCAAAAAAAAAGGCTACAGGAGTTGATGGCATACCAATTGATGTATTTCAACAGACAAGGATAGGGCTCACTAAGTTATGCCAAGAAATGTGGAGGACAGCCACCTGGTCAACTGACTGAAAGAGATCAATATTTGTTCCCATTCCAAAGAAGGGTAACCCAACAGAGTGTGGAAATTATCGAACAGTATTATTACTATCACATGCAAGCAAGATTCTGCTGGAAATTATCCAAAAATGACTGGAGCAACACGTCAACAGAGAACTGCCAGATGTGCAGACTGGGTTTAGAAGAGGTCATGGTACTAGGGATGGGATATTATAACTAATGTTAGATGGATCTTGGCTGAAAGCAGGGAGAGGAACAGCATGTTTGGGAGGGTGGAGGACAGCGCAAGTGACAAGACCCTTGATGAGACAGGTCTAATCAGTGACTCAGGTAATGGGAATAGGTGTGTTGGAGATGGTGAGATTGGCACAGGATAAAGCAGGGCTTAAGGCTCTTGTACATAGTGTCACTATGAGTCACAACGACTCGAAGGCACATAACAACAACAGAAGTTTTAGTGGCATAGTGATTAAATGTATGCCTGGAAACCCAGCTAGCAGTTCTACTTTGTCCTGTAGGATTTTGATAAGTCAGAACTGTTTAGATGGGAATATGTAAATTAAAGTGTCATCTGGTGTTGGAAAAGCAAACTTTAGAGAAATTAATTGCATGTCTGCCTAAAGTTATGTGTTAAGATTAAAAGGGTGTCCTCGTGGCCTAGTGGCAAAAAGCTGTGCTGCAATCTTGAACGTACATGGTTTGAATCCACCAGAAGCTCAGCTGGAGAAGGAGGGACAATCTCCTCCTATTCCAGTTGGATCCAATTCAACAGTATAAAATCAAGAAAAACAAAAAATGATTCCACACGCATTTGGGCAAGATTAACCACTGTAGCACTTTTCATGAAAACAAACTATCAACTGCAGTATAACTTATTCAGAGTCACAGTTCACAACAATGAATAAGATCAAACTACCGCTATACAGAGCAAGATGAATCTCAAAACCAATACAGAGGCGAGCTCT